GGTGTGGATCAACATAGTTAAAAGCGCTACTGCTTTAATACGGTTCTGCTCATCGATCGTCCGTCTGCTCATCCATCTTCTTCTCAAAGTCTCTCGTAATTTCCGCCCTATCCTCGTCCATTTTTTGATTAATTATTCGAGAATGTCCATTGACTTCCCGTTTGCATGTTGCGTTATCGGAAGTAGACAATAAGACAACACGTCTCTTTCCCCACTGAAGTTTCTATCGGCTGTTAGTTTGCATTGGAATAATTTAACAATATTATTGTTCTTTGAATTTTTTTATTCGTATCCTTATGGCTTATTCTATTAAATTAATTATTCGATCAACATTCGATTAGGTATGTAATAAAAAACCTAGGTGGAAAATATGGTGTGATAATCAAGACGGTTTAGAAGACGGGTTTGTGCAATAATCGGTTACAAAGTTCGTAATTCTCCTTCTACAAGTACAAAATCCTTGGAAACATGTCGGTAATAGCTCTTTCAATACACATGTTTTTCTCTCGCGCACTACTTAAAATTGCGACAACCATACGGTTCCGTGTGAAAGAGAAAGACGCAGCGTTAACACCTGCTCGTGGTGTACGCATCGATGTAAGAGAGTGCGCATGCGGAGACGTAAATATTAATTACATTAATTTTAGTTAAGGGTAGTCTTGACTTTATTTTTTTAAGCAACCCATTGGCAATGTGTTTACATATTAAGATTGCTAAAAAAATGTGTTTCAGTGGGTAAACATATGAGCGAATAAGGTTGACTACAAAATGCTCTTCCGTTAACATCATTTTGCCCTTCAATAAATTAAAACGTAATATATGACCTTTTCATTGTTGACTCAAAATTTTCATTCAAAAGCCTCACTGATCGGGCAGCCGATCAATTGCAAGTCTGAACCGTGTCTACATAACACTAAACTGACACTTTTTAGTTCCTATAATTGACACACCTCGAATTTTTATTCAACAAGCGTACAAATCTCATTTGATACTAATCGTTTCGGCCCCAAAGTGTGCATTTCACTTCACCGTATCACTCTGAAGGTATTAAAGTAAATATTGTCGGTTTTTGAACAAACAATGAATTGTTTATGGATTATTTTGTTATCGATTTGCGTGTAAATACTTTAATATCTAAACCAAATCTTCCTTATTCGAATAGGTACAAATGTATGCCATAATGGTCTAGTGGCGATGGTATTCGGCTTGTAATCGGGCGGCTCGGCTTCGATTCTTTACATGAAAAGTAATTTTTGAGTTTTTTTACAAAGGTTATGAATCCTGCTTGGTAAGCTGGTGTCTCGGGTGTATGGCCCTCTAGGCATTGTGGTAGGTGGGCTGCATATATCTTGTATCCCGCACTGCATAGCGAGAGTCTTCTGTAGACATCTGTTCCTTGTGTACTGATTTTGAGGAATGGCAAACTTAGATGAACAAAAGACAAATACTTAGGTGTCAGGGGAGCAAGAAGGGGACGTTAAGGTTGGAGGGAGGGTTTCTGAATGAGCTTTCAACAATAAAAAAAACTCACACAAGGCAACATTTCTTTTAGCTTTTATTCACAAAACAAGGTTTAAAAGTAGAAATTAAGTAATTGTTGTTTCTTCATTATAATATGAATAATATAAAATTCGCAAAAATGGGCCACCTCGTCATCTTCTTTTTCCTATCCAGCGCAGGAACAATGAGCTCACCTCTTGCATGCAGTACACTGAATCAATATCGTCTTTATTTTGGAAAATATGACCGACTGCAAGTTTTAAAATTGACGCCCCGTATAGTATTTGTATATATTAATTAAATTAGTTACCGATTACCGATTTATACAACTAGAGAAGAAAGTGGAGTGCAAAAGTTGTGAAAAAAGTGTTTATCGTATGTTAAATCAATTGCGGTGCACTTCAAACGGAAAATATAACATTTTAAGCGGAATAACAAGCTTGCTGCCGCTACTAACGAAGTTCGGTTGTTTTCTTAACAAGAGTTGCATTTCCTTAATAAGAAAAATAAGACTCAGAAAAGCTAGAGAGCTTTATAAATTTATTAAATATTTTGTAGGTCTATACATTTCGGCTTTAATTCAACATTTTAAAGATCTAGACTCTAGAGGTACATTTATTAAAATCTCTTTCCCTGTTCAATATGATTTTTTTGCAGAACCGAGATGTCCTGGAATCGAAATGTCTCAGAGCCGCCGTATCCGGTGTTTTTAACCATTGATTAACCTTAATCACCGGACATGAGATGATCCCAGTCCCCCGCCATACCATGTTTAAGTTTTCTGATCCTTGAAGTCAACTCAGCTTCTAAAATTGAGTATCTGGAGTTCAGAAATCGTTAAAACTCTCCTCCCGAAACCCCAGGAGACTAGTTCGCTTTCAAAATGATTGGACTTGCGTTAGGCGTGGATTTTCACGTAGTGCTCTTACTGGTTTGTGGTGAGTACACCATAATGGCTCAGATTATGAATGGTAAAAAAAGAAGTCAGTTGAAACGCTAATGTTCACCATTAAAAAATTCACGAACTTGAAATGCGCTTATTGGGGTGTAAAAGCAGTGTCCAGCTCCCGCTGACAGGATTTATTCCACCATTCAGCAACCGGAAGTGCGGTACGAAATATTGAGTTCATTCTCATATGCCGGATTTTCCGGCACCTAAAAAGTGTAAAGCTGCATTATTGATTTGACTCTTTTTAGTTTTGTAAAAGCATAAGAATATTTTATGAATCCAAAGTATCGCAAAATCCCTCGGTTCCTTACATCATTCCTGCATTGTTTTCAATACACAATTCCTTGCGTTCGTATATGACTCGCTTTGATGTGCATACAATGCAGTCTAAGCGAACGATTTTTTTTTAATTGATTAAGTTTACAATACCTATTGCATTCCTTGCAGAAATTTCCTGAAACATTGTACTGATCAAATTTAATGTTCTTTTAATTTATTCGGCCAGCAAATACACGAATTGCAATTTTTTAAGAGGTTTATGGATGTTCTTTCCAAGGATCATGCAGGTTTACTGTAATTTTTATGGGAGTATTCAGAATTATGACATTGGAACTCATTTTAGTGCACTTCTCGAAGGCGATGTCACTATTCTACTTGGTTTTACTATATGCATGTACCTACAGATTGTCTGAGAAGCGTATTTAATACGTTTTCTTTACTTGAGGGTAGCTTTGTATGTCAGAACACAAGACAAGAACCTTAATTTACTTTAAAATGTGTATACATTTTGTGTTTTTAATAGACAGCTTTTTTTCACTTTTATTTACCCTTTTCTATATAATAATCAAGTGTGACGACGCTAAACTTTGTGTAACAGTTTTATTTTTGCAAGTATTTAGGTACATGTTATATTTCAACTGAGTTTATTACATGCTTTTTAACACGATCACAATTTAAACATCTGCTATATAAAACAACTAAATCTAACAAGAAGAATTAAAGGTTGCATTGGAATTGGACCACATTAAACATTTTTAACAAGAACAACGTGAACACTTTTGCTAAAGATAAATGTCTGAATAATGCGCGAATGTGGAATCGTCTGGTGTCGTGCAAACTTGCATTATAAAATACGCACACTCCCACGTAGGGTACTGGCATTACTTCCACGATATATTCTTTTGGCGTGTATAGAGTGGAGAAAGTTTTCAGCACTTTCTAAGAAAGTTCCGTTGATGCCTTTTCTTGTTCTTTGTAGTTTACGGTGAAGGAGACATAATAATACATAATCCTACGCTATGGGTGAACAATAGGACCTGGAGCACCTGAATTTTTATTCCGGCTCACTGTCAGCTGATCAAATCTTCATATCGCAGTTTTCGGAAGTGTTGCGTCGATCGTTGTGGCGTTGGCAGGAAGTACTTATAAATTATTTTTGGTTGATGCTCACTGTAATTTCTACTTAAGGACCACTGTCATATTTAAATGATCTGTCATTTCATCTGTGACGAACCCTTCACGCATGATGCATTGCTCTTCCGTTTACGGCATCATTCAAGTTACGAGTACGTTTGGTTCGATGAAGCAGAGTGTTTGGAGGAGCCATGCTTAATGTAATTGCGTGTTTGGTCCTTCGCCGTCGCATCAACTTAATTGTCCATCGTCACCGTATTATTTTTTTATGTCACATTCTTATTATTTAGAGGTATGTAGATCTCTGTGAGCAAGGAGTTTGTTACTTGTCATTGTTTAGTTTCAGTACAAGTTGTGGATTTCTCATTTTGGTGTTCGGTTTTAATTTCAAGTAGAGGAAATTCCCAATTTAACCTTACAGCCACGTTAATTGCGAGGTTTATCAATATTAGTCTTATCAAGGCACCAGATATACCTGTCTATGGTCATTTCGTTGTGGACATGCAAAGTCAACTTTCAATTGGGTCAGCCCGAATAACCACTTACTCTGTAATTAAAATAATTTAGTAATTATTGGATAGTTTCCTCTACAAGGAACATATAAGGGATTAATTTAAATGTTAACGTACTTGTATTGTGTAATCATATCAGTATTTCGATCCTTGATATTGCTTTTGTTATTGCTTGGACAGAGCTCTCTCGAAGGTTCTTCAATAGCATTATTAAAGGAAACAATGTTATTTATCCTTGCGCATACCTTATTGTTATTTAATTTAGAAGTTAAGGATGGACTAAATCTTTACTACATCTACTTACGTTGGATTTTTAACGTACTAGCACGGATACATGAGGATTTTTTTAATTAGTGGGTTTTTATACAGGAAAAGTTAAAAATGTATAAAGAAACTACGTGGCGCTTAACCATACGACGAAGCTAGGAAATGCCAAACGAACTAACCGCTGTAGGGAATCTCACGTTCCTTTAACTTTTACTTCCCTGAGCTAGCCGGTTGTTTATGTGTAGTGCCCGTTCAACGCTTTGTAATATCATTCATAATTAAATTAATTGAAAATGTGTAGTGGACAATGTGTTTTTTACATGTTTTATTAGCGAGTTTCTACAATGTTTTTTTTACAGGTTCGTTGTGTCAAGTTTTCTGATCACGTGATGTGTCAATGTAAGTACATCTTTGTATGAATCACTTATTGGTGTACAGATCAGCAACATTCATAAAATACTAAATTAGTAATAGGCTATGTAGGGTACACTTTCGGATACACTTAAAGCAAAATAAAATTAGCACATTGTAACGTACTTGGAGAAGGTACCTTTTTCTTTGTTTATTTTCGAAGCCACCCCAATTGGAGAAAATTGATTATTTACAATATTGTTACTTGTTTGTTGAGGTTGTTAGTATACAACGAATTAATATTAAACTTCATAGAAAAATTAGTCACCTGTAATGGCATAATGCATGCTATGATGGTTGTCAAGTCAATTAATATAATGTCGAATCACAGGCTCCACTGGGATTCCTAAAGAATTAACATTTGACACACATAGCATAAAAAAATCATTAAAACATTACAATAAATTCACACATAAGTTTGGATATTGGATGGTCAGTCCAAATGCCACACCGAGTAGTCTTTAGTTGCTCTAGTCATGACATGTCAGTATTGTATGAAAACGCTGGGAGTTGGTCTCTCAGAAGAGCATTTCACACAGGTCGGATACCCCAATAGATACAAAAAAAACAACGGGAACACGTTTGTAATTAATTCTCAATGCCAAGTGCAATATGTAACAATCAACCACCTAACGTACGTCACTCGCCCCCAGATGAAGCACCCTGTAAATAAACAGTAACATGCGAAAGAAAGGAGATGTGCTGCAAAAAATTCAATTATAAATTAAAATGTAGTATCGATGTTTTCAAATGCAGCACCGTCCACGAATCGCGATAATACCTATTTATTATACCGTTTAATTCTGCATACTCGTATTGAATATCATCCCTACGGGAACATACTGTATCTAAATATAAATAAAAACAAGTAAATCGGTCAGTAATTCATATTGCGGGTTGGCAGGTAAAACCATCACCATATTTACGTAAAAAATAACATGGAATCTTGCATTTAATTCAAAGTACCACCAGTATAATTATAAAACGGCAATTTGTATTTAGAATGGGTTATAAATGGCAATACTCATGGTTGTACGAGAATACTTTAAATTGGAAAATAATCTAACACGATCATATCATTACTAGATGGATGAGATAGATGTAGAGATAAAAAGGAATACCTACGTCACCTTTGTACTGCTAATGTCTAGAAGTTATATTTGTGTTACTGTAAGACATGATGTACTTTTTTTAAGACGAAACTGTGTAATTTATTATAATTACTTTTACATAATAAACACTATTATTATTATGGTAGGTGTTTCTTGTGAGAACTCAAGTCTAGGCTGGTTAACTAATCGCAGGGATTACAATCAAGTAACGATTAGTGTCTGTGTCTGGTGAAGTTATGTAGGGTCCTAAAAAAAAAAATCACACACGTACATTTGAAATCTAGGGATAGTATGTAACTCATAGTTACCAACATACCTATTGATGGGCACAATAGCCAACGCTATCAGGAAAGAGGAAAACAAAACAAAACAAAAAAATCATTATAATAATTCCTGTAATTTTATTAAATGGATTTTATTGTGTAAGTGTTTCTTTGGCTTTGCGTTTGGGTTGAATACGAGTGGGTTGTGATAACGTGGTGTGTTTGTGGGAAGAAGGAGTTTTGTGTTTTTTAATTATTATTATTATTATTGTCGAAGCTACACTCACTATTCGAAACGTAAAAATTACTTCTGCCCTCAACAAAAACACAAATACCTCTGCCTAAATTTCGCCTTTTCAAGCAAATCCTAGAGACGAAAATTGTTAATATCGACCATGCTCCTAGTCGTCGGATCGATAGGGATCATTCAGTTCTCTCGGATAGCGTTATATTTGACAATTTTATTGTAAATTATGGTCCATTTGAATGGTGGACAGAGCAGAAAAAACACGTGCTCCACGGAAACGGGTTCGGGAATATTTAAATCGAAGGTTAGCGGGCAAATTCGGTTCCATTACAAGGTTGTTAGTCATTTTCGTACAATGAATTTTACGGGCTATATAAATCAATGTGTTTTTTTTTCTTTCTTATCAAAATTACGAACCGGACCTATAATGCAGTTCTTTAGATTTTAAAAACCTATCATAATAGTGACTGTCCCGAGGCAATGAATGTGCCAATTGTAAGCTTTTTCTATTTTTCTGTAAACTGCGTGTGCAGAATATTTCAAACCGTTCAAAAGGAACGTGATGCAGCTGAAAGGCTGTAGTGGTCAGTTGTATCAATGCGTCGGAAATTTTCTAAATGAGCCGCTGCAGGATAAACTCAAGAGTTCATAACGCTACACGACTATAGGAAAGTCATTTAAATAATTGCAGGGTTGGTACGTAGGAACTTTAGTAATCTACAAAACTTGTTTGTTTTCAAAAGCAAAGCAAGTCATTAATTGAACCTACAGCGTATGCGGTTATAAGCTAAAGCTCATTTCCGCTACAAAGGTAATTATATACACCCCGCAAATATTCATTAAGGGATACGTGTGAAGCAAAATTTAAGGGAAAGAAATTTATCGGAATTGTGATTGAAAGTTGCCAAATTTCGTTATCCTTTAGAAACACCATAAATTAGCCAAAGAGTTAGAGTTGATCTTTTATTTTAGTTTTAGTGGAATGTATTAGACATTATCGACTACTACCTACTATGTATCTGTCCTAAAGTACAATAACTAATTTTAGTTTCGGTCAAATATGTTTACAACCGAATGGAAATATTCGATAGCTTACAAAAAATGTGATTGAAAATGCAATCGACTAACCCTAAGTTAAATCCAAGAAGATATTGCATCGAAAAGTGTATTTGACGTTCTTTACTATCTGGCAATAAATAAGTTCACTGGTAACTTCATACTTGAAAACTTGGACGGCCCTTAAAAGATAATTTAATCGCATCGAAAACAATAGGAAACAATTCTATATTTACTCGAAAAGTTTAGACATTGTAGCCTATATCCTTATCTTACTATCAATTAGGTACTAATTCATTAAATGGGGTTTCGTGTTGGAATGTATCTGTTGGTGGGATCTATGACGATAGCTTTTCTATTAAACGCCGCTTGATCATTACGTATGCTTGTTTTATCTTTATCTTTATATACAGGGTCGCTATTAAAGCTCGTATTAAAGATAAAATCAAAGCTCTCATCCTCAAACCGTTTGACATATAGAAGTGAAAATTAAAACGCTCGAAATTGAAATTATTGCGCACAATTTGAGGTTACAACATAGTGGACTAAATCATCGTGTTTTGTCATTCATTTAAGGGACTAAAGTGTCAATTTTTCTCCTGGAGAAACATTTGCTACCTGTACTTAAATGATCGATACAGATTTTCATTACGATACAAGTTTACAACTAATAGAAATGCAGCAACACGGGAACACGACCCATAATTTATGAAAATTTGCCAGAACAATGACAACTTCTGGGCATAGCGAATTGGTGGTTCATTTTCTTATGAGGTAAAATAAGATTTCAATCGGCGGTCATCTTGAAAAAATTTGACAGTGATACTCCGCTGGAACGCGTTACCATGATTGCGCAGTGCGCATGCTTTGACGTCGTTAACTTCGCTACCTGAGAGGGAGAAGACAAGTTTTTCGTTCATTTTAGAATGAAAAAAAAAGACTTTTGACGAACTGCTTTTTCGAATACAAGATTCGCTTCGGAAACGGGATACCATATTGAGGAGTATCATCCCTTCTCATGAGTTTTAATTCTTAGAAAATGATGTGTAACAAGTAAGAACGTTTTTTCAACTTTCCGTTACTTTCATTGTTTAGTATGGGAATTGCCTATTGCAGCAACCGCGATAGTGTTTGAGGGGGCTGGTGGGAGACAACCTCCTTGTACAACCCCCACATGCATCACCTCTTCTCTTGAGAGCTTGTTTTCTACCCGCACCGGGAATGATCTGTTGGTGAGGTGGAGTGACGTATGCCAATGGCGGTTGGGTGGTCACAGTTTATATATGAGTCCTTTTCTCCATAGTCGAGTCGCTTTTTCTATGTCGAGCGATATCGCAACCGTCGTATTCCCGCGGTTCATCGATTCTGCTACGAAGTCTATCACTCTTATTAGCTGTTGTACCTTTGTCAAATGACCGATACGGAACGCAAATTGCTCATCTCTGATAGGGAGTAACGGAGTAGGCCTTCTGAGTAGGAGTCTTTTGAAAAATCTTAGAGAGTCGATACCAGCGATATCGGACGGTAATTCCTAGGATTTGAAGTCTCCTTTCCAGGCCTTGGAATCATATAGCGATTGCTTTCTTCCACTCAATGAGGTAACTTTTGTGCACAAGCATCGAATTGAATATTCGCGTTATCACGGTACCTGATACCACCCACTATTGGCGATGTTCTCGGTTTTTGCGACAGGACCATCTTTTTCGTTTCAAATTGGTAAAAAGAAGGTTTGGGTAATTCGAAATTTCTACGGCGTCTCTTACTGTACGGATGACTATCTCAACGTGAACGAGGTCAGAATGATGGTTAGAGGTGATGTTTTTCTCCAGCACTGCTGCAAAACATTAAGCATGTTCTTCGGGGTCATAGAATTCCAGTTACCATCGTATTAACAGTCTCCTCTTCTCCTTTATTTCGCGAACAATATAATCGGGCGGCGTTTATTTTATTTGTGGGTCAGATAAGAAACCCTTCAAGTTAGTTTACCGGTACCTTAATTGAATGTCGGTCTCGATAGACATGAAGATGGGAAGGTGGTCGGAGCTAATGGTTTTCCGCGAGTTCTAAATTGCAGGGTAAGTGAAGGAATAACGGGCGATCAAAAATGAGTTGCTGTCGAGTCGCCTTTGGAAGTTCAAGTTAAATACGATTTCCCATGTAAACAGAAGTTCCAAAGGTAACTCGACAGCAACTCATTTTTGATCGCACAGTAGTTATATGTAGGATGTCTGGTTGACAGTCTGTATTGGATGGTATATGTGTCGGAGAATCGGAACTAACAATCTCGTATTTCTTATTCCTGGAGTGAAG